CGGGCTGTCGGTGGCGGTTGCGGGGCTGTCTGCGTGTGAGCTGTCGTTCTCCCTCAGGCCGCGCTCTCTTGCGAGTATTGACGCCGCGTAGTTCTCATTTGTTTCCTTTGTGACGTTTCCTTACGTAGGCGAGAAGAAGCTCGGTAGGGTAATCACTCCCGACACGTGGAAAGATGGCGCAAGAAACACGACAGGTAATATTTGGGGGGTTTAACGCTTGTTTCTCAGGTGTCTTAAAGCTAGCTGGGCGCCTGAGCCATCTGATAATCTTAAATCTAAAATCTGAAATAGTTAATCAGGCTAACTTTTAACTCCTGTAGTTTCTCTCTCCTGCTAATTTAATGCACTGGGAATTTATGTACCTTGAGCTCTTCAGTATTGAACTTGCCTGTTTTTTTTCTCCTTATATGGAATGACAACGTGCAAACAGAACACGGTATAAAGTATCCTGTTGTCCTGTGCTTTAACGCTGTGCTATATGTTTTCGTCGCTCTTTGTGACTTTATTTGCCTATGTGTAAACGCTGTAAATGAAGCTTTTTTAGGTATGCTTGGAACTGGGTAATTTATCAGTTTATGGTTTTCTTCTTTTTGTAGAAAGCGGTGGCCGCAAGTTAAATGAAAACAAGGCATTGACCTCGAAGAAGGCAAGGTTAGTATTTAATACTGGTTTTGGCTAAAAAATTCAGTTTGCTATAACTGAGTCCTGTTTCATGCATATCTGGACAACTACTCGGAACTTGTCCAAAACACACTTAAAAAAAAAAGCTTTGTAGAGATTATGAAATGTGATTAGTTGGTAAAAGTATGCCCGTACATATTTCACGGGTGCTTTCTGGTGAGTCATAGAGCACGGGCAAATATTTTACTGCAGTTTGCACCAAAATGGCTAGATAGGTTTGATGCTTTTGTTAGGAGAGGAGCTGGGAAGGCTTATTTTCTGTGTTAAGATTGCTGGTACAATCTTTTGAGCATTTCCTGATGTCTTGGTGACATTTTGTGATGAAAGGGGGCAAGGCACTGCTGGAAGGTGTTTAAGTTCAAAATAGTCTAATACCTTAATAAAAGGACACATTTTTAGTTCTGCTTTTGTTAAGTTTTTGTCTGTAATGCAACGAGTCTCTCTTAATGGGGAAAGTGGGAGCTTTTCTGTAGACTTTGTGCAGCCTATTAGAAATAATCCTTGTACGTCGCTTTTCTAGATTATAGTTTTTGCTGGAGTTTTTGTGCCCTCTGGCTTAGACTTTCTAAGGTGAGGCAGAGGAAATACTTGAAGATGCATAAATAAAATACTTTTCCTTTTTCCCAGGTTTGATCCTTATGGAAAGAACAAATTTGCAATATGTCGGATTTGTAAGAGCTCTGTCCATCAGCCAGGGTCTCACTATTGTCAAGGATGTGCCTACAAAAAAGGTGAGTTTCACCAAACGTCAAATTACTACTGTTTGCTTTGAAATTAGAGAGCAAGTGGAACCCTTGAATTTGTTTCGCCTTGCAAAGATAAGGCTAAGAAGAGATTTAATTGCTGTCTTCAGCTGTTAGTAGGAAGGCGTAGAAAATGGAGTCAGACTCTTCTGATGTGCACAGTAATGCAGCGAGAGACAATGTACGCAGGTTACAATGTAGAAAATTCTAACTGTATACAAAGAAAGTAATTTTCACTGTGAGGGTGGTTAAGTATTGTTATAACAGGGACCCACAGAGGTTGTGGAATCTCTGTGGCAGGTATTCAGGGCTTGGCTTGAAAAGCCCTGAGACAGCCTCATCCAAGTTGGCTGTGTTTTGAGTGGGATGGGCAGGACTAGATACTGCTGGAGGTCCTTTCCAATCTGAGTCATTCTATGATTCTGCTTGTTTTAGAATGTTTCTGGTATCTAAAGCAGTAGAATTGGAAGCTTAATCTTGGCAATTGCACAGAAAACTGTTATCTAGCAAGTTTGATTTTTCTTAGTTTAAAGAAAAATAGATTTTGTAAAACTCAGTTGCTTGTTGCAGTCCTGTTTCTGCTCCCCTCTCTGCTTTTTATAGTAGCTAAATCTAAAACTCTAAATAGTGGTTTAAAAAAACCCCAAAACCCACACTCAAAAAACAAACAAAAAAAACCCCAAACCAAAACCCAAACACCCCAGACACATCCACCCCCCAAAAATCACCACACAAACCAAACAAAAATCCAGCTTCTGATCTTGGTAAAGCAATAGGCTAGCCTAACAAAAATGGAATACCTGGGGAACAGAATCATAGAACAATTTGGGTTGGAAGGGACCTTAAAGATCACCTAGTTCTAACCCCCCTGCCATGAGCAAGGACACCTTCCACTAGACCAGGTTGCTCAAAGCCCCATCCAACCTGGCCTTGAACACTACCAGGGAGGGGCCATCCACAACTTCTCTGGGCAACCTGTTCCAGTGCCTCACCACCCTCACGGTAAATAATTTAATCCTTATGTCCAATCTAAATCTACCCTCTTTTAGTTTAAAGCCATTACCCCTTGTCCTATCAGTACATGCCCTTGTAAAAGTCCCTCTCCAGCTTTCTTTGTAGGCCCCCTTCATGTACTAGAAGGCTGCTAGAAGATCTCCCCAGAGCCTTCTCTTCTCCAGGCTGAACAACCCCAGCTCTCTCAGCCTTTCCTCAGAGGAGGGGTGTTCCTTCGCTCTGATCATTTTTGTGGCCTCCTCTGGACTGCTCCAAGAGGTCCATGTCCTTCTTGTGCTGAGGGCTTCAGAGCTGGACGCAGGACTCCAGTTGGGGTCTCACCAGAGCTGAGCAGAGGGGCAGAATCCCCTCCCTCGCCCTGCTGGCCACGCTGCTTTTGATGCAGCTTTTCATTCACTAGTACCCCAAGTCCTCCTCCTCAGGGCTGCTCTCGATCCCTTCATCCCCCAGCCTGTATTGATACTGGGGGTTGCCCTGACCCCGGTGTAGGACCTTGCCCTTGGCCTTGTTGAACCTCATGAGGTTCACACAGGCCCACTTCTTGACCTTGTCCAGGTTCCTCTGGATGGCATTCCGTCCTTCTGGCGTGTCAACTGCACTGCTCTGCTTGGTGTCATCTGCAAACTTGCTGCGGGTGCACTCCATCTCACTGTCTTAAGTCACTGATGAAAATGTTAAACGGCATCAGTCCCAGTACAGACCTCTGGGGGACACCACTTGTCACCGATCTCCATCTGGACATTGAGCCGTTGACTACTACCCTCTGGCTGCGACCTTGCAACCAATTACTTATCCACCAGACAGTCCAGTCCACCCATCAAATCCATATCTCTCAAATTTAAAGAGAAGGTTGTTGTGAGGGACTGTGTCGAAGGCTTTGCAGAAGTCCAGATAGATCACATCCATTGCTCTTCCCTTGTCCCTTATTGGAATAAAAGGCAAATAGAAAAAAAGTAAGTTCAGTTGTACAATCAATTAAGAAAGTGTGTCTGAACGCAAGTCGTGCTCTTAGTTGTCTTTGTGCCTCTGTGTATTCTTAGGCATTCAGTGGCTTAACATAATCCATTGAAAGGTTCATTTCTCGAAAAGGAGGCCCTGGTCCAGTTGTGAGCATGCTTGATGCATTGTAAGTCAGCCTTGGCTTAAGGTGAAACTGAAAAATGAAAAAGAATATAATCATCCCTAGAAAGCAAGATATTGCACTATGCAATACAGAATATATGAAATCTTTCCGTAATTGAGAGTTATGTGTGAATGATTGCACTGAAATTCTGCTTATACCTGGAAGCTTTCTATGTCCCATATTCATAATAAGTCTTCAGTATTGTTAAAAGCTGTTCAAAAATTTTTTTTTGGGGGGGGGAATCAATTTCAAGCAAATGGGATGGAGAGCCTTAAGGATATAGAACTTCTACTAGTCTTGTGATTTTGAGTAGGTAAGCAAAAGGGCTCAAACTTTTAATTCCCAGATGGGGGATAAAAAGCAACGTGAACTCAGTTACGTTGTTAATACTGAGGAATCCACATAGCACACAGACATGCGGTGAACTAATTGTTAGCTGTAGAGCTACAGCTAACCAGTAGTAAGTTTTGTTTGTGAAATTACCTTAATTATTTTGTAAATGTGTAGTGTGTCACTGAGTCAGTGGTTTAGCAGCGTGCTGTAGGAGGGTTGCCTTTTCTAGTTGGTGGATGCTCACCAGATGGCTGCCTGAATCCCATATGGTAGAACCTCGTTCTCTTTCTTAAACTTATGGCTGGTTTGGGTGGGCTTCGGGATTTCGTCTTAGTCTGCTTGTGTATCCTTCCAGGTTGAATCTGTTTTTTTTTTTTTTTTTTCATAAAATCCATAACTAAATGCTTTAGGTTCTAGTTCTGACCATCAAAGATGTGGTTGTGGCATGTTTTTTGAAGCAAATGCAGTCATGTGGCTTAGTGCTTCAACTGTTGCATATCTCTGAAGTTGAGAGGCAGTCTAAAGTTAATTACTTCTCAATTTAGGCCTCAGGTGAACAGTTCATGGGCCAGATTTTGCTCTCCAGAGTCAATCATGTGGCATGTTCCCTGCTGTTCTCTTTCCTAATGGACTTGTAGATATGTGTGCAGTTACATGATGTCAGTAGATGAAAGCACACGATTTGGAGAGAATTAACAGGAATAGCTGCCACTTCACGTTTTTTTTTGTCTGCTGATGAGTGGTCTTGTAAAACGAGATGTGACCCTACCAGACAAAAGATTTATCACCTTTGTGCTTTAGAAGAAAAGGGAAGCATTGAGACAACCTGCCCCTCTGCCAGACTTGTGTACTTTTTGCTGCTCTAGTCTTCTGATTTGCCGCTCTCTGGGTATAGGACAAAGTGCTCTGGGACATCAGTGGTCAACTCCCAAGTGTTCTTGGTGTCCATTGTTTCTTAATTCTACTGCTCTATAAATAGCTTAATTCTCAGAAACTGTATTCTTCTGAACTTACTGAATTATCTGAAGCTCCCCACCTGTTAATCTTCCATTTAGTGATTAGTTTGTTGGTGACTCTATTTTCTTAGTCTAGGTACTTTCTGTCCATCTCAGGCCTTGGTTTGGCTACAGGACTTAAAAAGTTTGGTAATACACCATTTTAACCTGTTTGCCAGATGGGAGCCTTTGCTGGCTCTCTTTCAATG